TTTTCTTATACTGCGTGCGGTCGTTGCGCGTGCGCACAAAGGAATGAGACCGCTCGGACACCGAGCCCACAGCGTGGTAGGGGTGGGGTTGCCCGCTCTTTTGTTTTTTAATACTACTACGCTGAATATTGTGTGCGGATTGGGTTGTCGTACAGGGGTACTACATGGTAAAATAAATCTCGGAGGCGAAAGCAGGATAATCTACGATTATAAGGCTGTCTCCCAATGTTTGTCTTTTGGGTGTATGTATTTCCCTACATAAGTTTTTCGCGGACCACAGTTGTGAATCATTGGTCTAACTCTAAATATTGAAGAAAGCTCCAAGCTTAAATATGTAGGTAACCATATGTTATTGGAAAAATAAGCTTTACTTAATGTCATCTAAAAAGGCAGTTCTAGCTATTCATGAAAAGTTCTGGAAGGATTGAAGAAAACCATAATTAATTTTGTCAATAGATTTATCTATATATTTTAATGAATAAATCTCAATTACAGCTGATGTAATGTTACAGTCTCATGTCCACTTCACGAAGCATCGTCTTTTTGTAGAAAAATGGCAAAATAACGTACTTATTGCAATCAAATCACTGGTACAGAACAATAGTGTAAATTAAGACTTCTTTACGTATATAGGTATCTATTCCAGAATTTAAATTCAACGCGCTTAACTTTAATGAATTCCATGGAAAATTATATTCATTTATAATTATATATTTTGTATCTTTAACTACATTTATCAACTATATATTACAAACTTTAACTTACATTTATATTTATTTTCATCAATCGTTTATTTTGTGGGCGTACAGTTGATATTTTCCGTTTCTTAGTTTAATTTTGAAAAAAATCGAAATTAGATGACGAAAAGCCAAAAATATGAAGTTATACAATTTTATTCAATCAGTTACAACATTATTAGACTTTATACTAAGAAAATAACAATTATACGCTCAACTATTTCACAGCACAATTGACAAAACATATTTTCAAAATATGCCTATAAGTAAACACGTAAATATACCTTACAATTGTATTTACAAAATTAAGCGATACTATTCAAGTAATTACTATTAATAAAAGTGGGAAACAAAATTGTTTTTTTCATTCGACGAATGTTTTTGGTGAAGTCATTGGTCCGATCGAAAAAATTGGATAGCAACCAAGAAACAATATTTTATAAGTATAATTTTTATATTAGATACTCTCTCAACTCAATTTTTCAAAATTTTTATTCAAAAGAAAAATAATAAAAATAAATCGTGAGTTTCATAAAATATGGTCTTACATTTTCTCTCTTCACATAATTACTATAATAATGAGGAACCAATAACGTCACTTAACAAAGTCGAAAAATTGATAACCCTATTTCTATTGCAGTGGAGTCTATGAGTGGTTGCTATGTGTCCTACGTGGTACATAGGTTCGATGTCGGTGTCACGTGATACACGCTCATAGTAGCAAGATCCAAGTATTATGTTTTACTTAATTATGCTTTACTTTTTAAATAAAATAGCTTACTTTTGCTATGATGATTCAGATACTCGTATATTCTTCCAAAATGTCGACAGTTTTAAGGGATCATGCTAAGATGAACACATCACAGTAGTGCTCCTAAGATAGTGTCTCTCAATCAAGATTTAAAATCTGAATATATCTTCGTTCTTACAGAACACTGACCAGATCAACAATTACGCTCTAACAAAGTACTTCCACGGAGATTCCTTCAAATGGCACCACCTGAGTTACTAGTAGGTTAAACAAGTTAAGGTGCAAAAGTATACAATCGACGAATGCAATAAGGTCCAATATTGATTACGCCATTGCACCGTCCTTCGATGGAGGTTATTCTCATTGCCATTTGAGGGTTATCAGAGAAGCACTACGCACATCCACGTGCACTCCAGGAGTGCTGTGAGAGCTACGCGATAAAGATGAAAGCCACCGTGTGCCGGCCGCGACCGGTCGCCACCTAGTAAGCGACTATTTACAATACGGGGGCGTAGTGTGAGTTTACTTCAAACGCATTCGTTATCGACTGAGTAAAAAAGTGACAAAAAAAATGTATAGTTATTTAATTTTTAGCGTTAAGAGTCGCATCTCAAACTAATTTGAAAATTATAAATAACTTGAAAAAATCGAACTGCCTAAGGCGGGAATTGAACCCACGACCTTCCGCTTGCTTGAAAAAAAAATGTATGACGGATTGTACAGCGCCCCTCGCGGGAACTTTCAAGAACTAAAATCTTTGTTGGGGACCGATTAGGTGGACTAACCTCTTTTGATACTTATCTATGTTTTAATACTTTTTTTTATTATTTTTGATACCTTTTGTTTTTAGTTTTGAAGTGTAGGTAATGTTTTTTGATAGCCGTCTGAGCATTTTTGGTGAAAAGAAACCTATTATTTCTAAAGGTATTTCGTTATTTTTGCCCGCCCAAGCGGCTGTCCACTTCAATCTTCAATACTTTTTTAACGCGCTCACTAGTGACGTTTGATGTAAACTCGCACTAAGCCCTAATCGACCCGAATAGAACTCGAAAGGAAAACAAAATAGGAACGATACAAAACGGCGCCCGCGTTCAGGTGACTTCGGAGCGAGGCTGAATATAAATACACGCTATGTACAAGGCTACGTCGCGAGTCAGTCCTGTGTTTCCACGTCCAGCCCGTTGACCATGCGTTCGATGCTCTTGAGGTCGGAGGCGGGCGGCGTGCTGGACGTGGTCGAGGTGGGCGCGTCGGGCGGCGGGTCGGCGGACGCGGCGCGCGCCGGCGGCGAACCCGGCCGGCGCGCCGGCGACGAGCTTAGGCTGCGCGCGCGCGGCGCCACCTAATAAATAAATAAACATTTATTTTCATGAGAAACTTGGTACAATACAAGGACCAGCAATAGTTATTGCACTAGGTTCGCAGACCTGTTACATCGCAATAACTATAGGCTCGGCGCAAATGGGCCACCGGTGGCCAGCGACGGCGACTTAACACACTTTTTGATATATTTTGTACAGACGCGCCGCACACGTGTATCCGGTGGCGGCCACTCACTACAGTAGTGTCCGCGACTGGCCACTAGTGGTCACTACGTGCCACACGAAACGCCACTGTCGCATGCTCCACCCCCCTAGAGATGGGTTGGATTAAAATATTTGGATTAGGTGGATTTACCTAATCCAAATATTTTAAAACACCTAATCTAAATACATATTTAGCAACGAGAGGGATATAAAATGTGGCGGCTTCCAGACACCGGTGGCTGTCGCTCGCTTCTGACACTCTTAGAAATGTGGCAGTAGGTAGCGTGCGACAGCTACCGCTGGCTATGGTCGGTGGCCCATTTGCGTCGTCACTAAGTGGATTTACAAATTTATGATTTACTTTTTCAAGCACTGTACCTGCTCGAACGCCGAGCCCAGCCCGGGCAGCGCGTACGGCGCGAACCGGTGCCCCTTCCCTAGTGGCGGCGCCGGCGCCGGCGGGGCAGGCGGCGGCGGCAGCGAGTACTGCTGCAGCAGCGGGTGCAAGTTAAACAGCAGCCCCGGCGGCATCTGGTGCGGCGGGAAGAATGGCGGCGGGTACAGCGACGGCGGGTATAGGTACGGCAACAGCGGCGGCTGCACCGGCGGGCCCAGGGACACGTCGGGCGCGGGAGACGGCCGCGAGGGGCCCGCGGGGGGCGACGACGCGCGGGGCCCGCCCGAGCACGACGAGTCCGAGCCAGCCTCGATGACTTCCTCGGGGCCGGAGTCCGCGCCTCCGCCGCCGCCTCCACTCGAACTGAACCATGCTGCAATAAAAATACAAGTTAAAGGTCGTCTTTTCTCGAGCCTATTGATTAAAATGCCGATAATGGTAGGTACCTACTACTTATGCTATGTCTTTCAGGAATAAAGCAAAAAAATTAATCATCCCTTTACGGGTGCTCGTAGAAACCGATGGTCGATGGGCAGAGGGCAACTCCGTCAAGTCTCCTGGTGCACCAAAGACCCGATGAGGGTTGTGAGAAGCACCTGAATGACCAGTTGCTGTAGAAATCTTTGGGGAAGGCCTTCATCCAGCAGTCGACGACTTTATTATACATAGTAGTAGTCCTATTAGGTCATATGTATGTAATGCTATTGATATTAGCAGCAATGCACTTACAATGCTTTAAGGTTTAGTCAAACCAACGCGATCACACGCGATCAGCCGGCGGGCAAAATCAAAATCAAAAATACTTATTCAGTTTAGACCACAAGTGGCACTTATGAACGTCAAAATGTAGTAAAAAATAAAAAAGAAAAGGTAGCCCTTATGGGTTGGGCAGCTTATCAGTTGGGCAGCGATGGAGATCAATGCATTTAAGTCTGACCGCCATCGCTGCACGCCGGCTGATCGCGTGTGATCGCTTTGGTTTGACTGAACCTTTATTTAGTTACAAGTAATCCCAAATGCAGTTGGTACTCACAGCTGGTGGAGTGCTGCGTGGTGGCGGGCGGGGGCGGCGGCGAGCTGGGCCCGCCCACGTCCAGCGGCCGCTCGTCGTCCTCGTCCCGCGCGTCCGAGCGCGCCGTCAGCAGCGCCTGCCTGCGGTACACGGACAGACTGCTCGTGTTATGACTAGGAATGACAGCATAGCATGAGGGGAATAGGAACATTTAACACAGTAGGTACTTCATTAGGCCATTTAGGCTCCACTGCAGGAGCAAGCCCAGGATAGCATGAGGGTAACATAAACTTAAATACAGGGTGTCCCTGTAAGTATGACGTATGAAAAGAAATTTACGGCCTCATAAGTAGTTAAGTAGCTAATTAAGGTGTATATTAATAAGCTAATTACTTAAGACAATTTGCACGAGCACAACCTTCTGTAAGGTTAGGGTGCTCTACATCTCTCTAATAACCACCAGTGGCAAATAGAGGATGTGACACTGAACTCCCTACTCTGGCCAGATAGGTTGGGGAGACCTGAAGTTCCCATTTTACTCTGCTGAAACCAGCCGGCTAATTTAGGCAGCTCCTAGATATTTACAGGGATTTCTGTATTTAACAGTTTTGTGTGGAGTAAAGAATAAAATATTTGTGGTCACCAACTACGTATCTATGAATCTATCCACGCTAAATCTAGAAGAACAATGGAAGGTCATAATGCGTTACAGAGATAATAATCACCTACTCGAGTGTGGATATTTAACATACGGGTATTTTTATTCTCTACATTGAAGATTACATCCAAGTTTTCCCTGGCAAACTTGAATTCTTTAACATTGTTATTATTGGCCAGTGTTCGCCACGTTTTTACACTTTCCCAAACACCATTAACACCATAATTTCCAAACCGAAAATGACAAGGTATGCACTTCGATTCCCCGCGGTGTCAACTTGACATTTGCGACGGGCGCGACCGCGGGAAAGGTTAATCGCTCTATAATGATAGTCCCGAAACTAAAACTTTCACAAAAGGTGATATTCTTTTGGTTTACAGGGTTAATTTGAGGTGTCAAAATGTCTTCACGCTATTCAACATAGTCCAAAAAGAACAAGTTAATTTGTTTCTTGAAAATGTTTTAGTGTCTAATCAAGACATCTCTACTAGGATCATAATAATGCATTTTCATCCGACTTATACACACTGTAACATAAGTTATACAAAACTTTAGATACGATAAATTTACAGTCGCAGTGGAAGGTTGAAAAGCGTAACGTGAGCAGCTAATTAGACAAATTATGAATTGAGATGACGCTAGAAAATAAATGTCCTTGGACATTTTACACTGCACCTCTAGTCCCAAACCCATGGAGTATATTTTACTGTAGGTCAGGTAACTCAGGTTGTTGTCACGGTTACGATCTTTACCTTTTCAGTTCAAAAATAGTCCATAACTCAGAATGTTTTGAAGATATTGCTTATCAACTGGAATACGACTAAAACTATTTTCCCACTTTTTTTGGCGTGCATTAGTGCGCTTTTTCTTCTTTTCCAAGTCGATGTGTCTTCTATAGAACACAGCCAAAACAAAATTAATACCACCCAAAGAAGACTATTATTTCTAACCCTGATACAGGGTCGTTTGATCCCAAACATTTTTCGTGGCTCCCCACAGCCGCAGCGGAAGGTTAAACACCGTAATGATAGTAGCGACATTCGACACGGAGGGGTTAGAAGAAAAAACGTCATGGGTATTTACGAAACGTTTTTTTAACAAGCATAAAAGTAATGCATCTTGAACTGTTTTTGAAGGGAATAAAAGATGATTATTTTGTTCAATTTTTTTATCACGTTTTTTGAGTTACGTGCCTTGATTAGGTTCTTTCTTTTGATTCCACATTTCATTCCACCTACAAGTACAAAATCTAAATACACTCGTCGTCAAATAAATCGCACCTCCCGCGACAAGCACTTTTAAACGTATGTATCCCCACTTCCCACCATTATTGGCACTATTTAAAAGCCTAGTTCTAAACTTTATTTCATTATAGGAAAGGTTTTTACCCCAAAAATGTGTCTTTAGAAGGATCCAGAGTCACTTCTTTAAAAAATAGGTAGTTACGCTTGAGCCAACTTTTATCGCTATAAAACTGTTAGTTAAGTTGGGATTAATCGCTATCCATCTGTTAAAGAGGACACGTGAGATCATTATTTGGTTTTATAACCATAAAAATTGGTCTAATTGATCCCAGAGGTGAGTCCAAAGTGAGGTCTTTTTTCAAGTCACATTTACGGTATATGTTAATCATTTATTAAGAAATTCAATGTGTTTTTCTTTAAGGATATTTATTGGGCTTTCAAATAACACCAATATTGTTGGGGCTCCATGATTGTGTCAGAAGAAAATCTTTAAAGTTCGCGTCGCGGAAGGTGCGGTTTATTTGATGTTGAGTATATTTTATCTTATATTGTGTTCAGTTTTATTAAGTTTCCAGTGTGATTGAAAGAAATTTTCATTGAGCTTTTTGTGCTAAGCCAGTCATTAGACACCTATGGTGGTGGCTCTTAAACTAGATTTAATTAATTTAGGTCTGATCATAGTTTTACAATCTAAAAGTTACTGAAAAATAAATGATGATTCCTACCATTTCAGTTGAAATTTTGAAAAGAACTATGTTCCTACCTAACTTAAATGTAGAGCTGTAATAGTTACCTATCACGATACAGACTTTTTAACTCATAACAATTAAATTATTGTCTACGCAGTCTGTTACTCAACTTTTCTAACCCAAAACCACATTGTGATGTAAAACTGTCCAAAAGTACAAAACTGTGTCCTTTACAAAAACCGTCGCTTAACCCGCAACATATTCACACCGTTAAGCCGTTTAGAAAGACAAAAGATAATTTTAACCGACCCCACAAAAAGAGAGCAATTATTTGCCACTGTCACCCCAAAGCTAACTGTTTATCATGGCCATTGTTCTGCGGAACCCTAACGTCTTCTGATTACGGTCCCGTAGAACTCGTTTTATTAACTCGCCTCATAGTCGGCTGATAGAATTTAAATTGGGACACCCTTAAATTTGAGGGCTGCCACAAGTTAATGAACAACGAATAGAGAATATTTAAGTTCTTTTCTTTTCAAGGTTTGAAGTAAAAATAAAGGTTGTGGCTTATTAACTTTAAAAAACTACACATACTCACTATGACACGACTACGACGCTAGAAAACTAACCCTTTGAAATTAAGGGTAGGTTCATCATTAAAGGCATTACTTTTTTTCAAGATTCATTCCAACATCTAGAATAAAATAAAGATTTCAATATTCTAGAATATAACAGTGACACTGCAAATTAAAAGAAAACCCCAATCGAAACCCTGTTTAAATTCAAACCTGATTCTGAATAAACAATATTGTATTTTTGTATTTCTAAATTAAAAAACAACTATGAATATTAAAGTAGACACAAATGTAATAAAACTAAAAGCAATAGAAAGGCAAGAGGACACAACTAAAACAACACATTCCAACACCCAATCTCCACACCCAAATAAGCCAAATCCTATCGAAGTCCGACCAAAGTCCTTTTTATCTCCTTTAAAATGCGATCTGGCAACCCTAATTTAAAAGTCCACATTAGGGTGTTCGCGTTACAATGTAAACTCCGCGTGGGGTGGCTCGGCTTGTAATTTTGCCAAATTTTTATCCCTTCGGTTAGTAGCTCCAATGCAAATCAGACTATACATTTGTATTGCAAAATAGTACCTATTCCAACCACAAAAGAACCACAGTGTAAAGCTTGACGTGCAGTCTATACAAAATACTATAGGGAGACGTTTAACGATTCACAGTATTAAACGTGTTTTGATTCTCGTCTCATACTTGGGATTACGGATATCGATTCGAGATTTCAATTTGGCGAATTTGGTGCGGGTTTTGAGTGTTCGTGTTGAGTCGGTGTGACGGGAATTAGAGCTTCTTAGAAATAGGTGTTACTAAGGTGTTACTTTATAAGTATTTTGGGTAACGGATACAGGTTTAAAGCTGTTTCGAGACAAATAAATACATTCTCTCTATTTTAAATTCCCTTCTATGATCTGAGATTTTAAAGAAACACCTAGGTACGATTATCATGATTACCTATTCTTTTGTATTAGTTACACTAGTGGTGGTAAAATTAATGAAATATTCCATGTAAAAAAAATCTTTACATTACAGGCTTCTAAGTTTACCTACTAAGTTGTATTCAAATTCATTTTAAAACTGTGTAACCTAAAACCTCTTGTAAAAGTATGACAAAAATAAAGCTAAATTGTATTCCCATGAGCCACCCCCACCAAAGAAAAGTGATAAGTCGCGTCCCGCAACTGGCGCGACTTTCCAGCTGGCGGTGACCATCATTCAGGTGCTTGGTAAAACTGAGCTTTAGCAGGAAAATACATTTACATTTAGGTATTTTGGGATATTTCAGAAAACACACACAGCGTGTAGATCGCGCCGGCGATGGCGATCACTGCGTGTGCATAGGCCAATGACAGGACGCGCAATGAGCTTTACTTCTTTTAGTTTATTTGAAAACTCTTATACTATAAAGTACAGTCGCGGAATGAAAAGGTTCGTCAGTTTTCAAATTGATTCCTTCAACTAATCGCGAGCACATATTACCTTTTGAAACTATGTTACAGAATAATTTCGAGTTAGAGAAAATAATCTTTAGCTGTTCGTCAGTAAAGTTCAAAATTATTCAGATCAAAGTTGTTTGACGATTTATCTTGTCAAGAAGATTATTATGATTGATAAACTTAAACCTTCTTGTTGGTTCAACCTGCCATTATTATTTCTATTAAATAAAAAAAACTACATTTTGTAACAGATTGCACTGATGGGATAGAAAAATAAACAAGCAAAACCTTATTCGTTAGCAAATAGAGATTGCAATCCGGATTATTCGAAATTCGAAAATATCTGAAAAATCCGGATTTTGAGCCTATAAAAAAATCCGGATTTTGACTTTGAAATCCGGTTTTTTCGAATATTTTTACCCCAAAAATTTTATCATAAAATCATAAACCAAAATATCTATTTGATGCAACATGGATGCAAAACAAGCGAAGTTTTGATTGAACGCACCCGCACTTCGTCGCACAACACTCACACCTGCACTGTGCCTGCACAATGAAGCGTCATGCCGCATGCGTAAGTGAATTCGCTAGTCGGCCAGTGAGTTTTATACGAGACGCTGATTCTGAAACACCATATCGCTGAGTTTTAAAGAGCAGCTAAATCGGCAAATATCCCTTGCAAGTGTAAGTCATCATCATCATCATCATCATCTCAGCCATAGGACGTCCACTGCTGAACATAGGCCCCCCCAATGCTTTCCATNCGACCATTTAGCTGGGTTGATGATGGAGTCAAGAGGTGACCATAGGAACTCTTAAACGAAACGGCGGAATCGCATCGAACTTGGGTTCGTTGGATTTGTCTTTTCGAGCACTTTAGTGCTAGATGATGCCCAGGGTCCTGATGATGGATTCGGGAGGTGGCCATAGGAACTCCTAAACGAAACGGTGGAAACTCATCAAATTTGGGTTTGTTGGATTTGTCTTTTCAAGCAAAAGTGCTAGATGATGTTCAGGGTCCTGATGATGAAGTCAGGAGGTGGCCATAGGAACTCCTAACCGAAACGGCAGAAACTTATAGAGTTTGAGTTCGTTGGATTCGTCTTCCCGAGCACTTTGGTCGTAAATAATGACAAGGGCCCTGAGATTGAAATACAACTTAAAAGTGTAAAATAAAATTATAATAAAAAAATTAGCTCCCCTGGCCTACCTGGAAATCTTTATAGACTTCGGACAGGTCTGCCGTAGTAAGGACAATCTGTTCAGGTGTCAGGTGGGGATTCTTGGGTGGATCAAACTTGGAGTGCAAGTGTGGTTTTGTTCCCCATTCGACGAAGCACATGATGTCGTACCCTGCCTGCCCAAAAAACTGCAAGCAGGAAGATTTAATGAAGGCTACTGACAACGCCACTCTTGTGGCGGAGTTTTGGGCTGGTCGCTGTATAGGTTTTTTATCGACACGACAAGAAAAAAAAAATATTTTATAGGTACAAGCAAGTTTTTATTCTGAAATGCAGTTGTACTAAAACGAAAAAAATAATGCAAGGTTCAAATAATTTCGAAATTTGTAGCGCAAACCGAAAATAAGAGGAATAAATTCCATGCGCGATAATAAAATAAAACGCTTTTCTTCAAATACTTACATCTTTTGAAAAAAAAACTACGTTTTATTTAAATTAATATTCGAAAAATCCGGATAATCCGGATTTGTACGTAACACAAATCCGGAAAACCGGATTTAAAAAAAATCCGGATTTTGCAATCTCTATTAGCAAACGTCATATTTATTTAAATGTTAGCAGTACTGTTTCTTGCACGGTTATGTTGACAGGTTTGACTCTTACAGTATCTAGTGCAAGCGAAAACCGACACTAAGGTGACGAACCTTTTCATTCCGCGACTGTACATAATAGAACTTATTTCTGATAGATTAGAAAGCTAATATTGTAGAGCCATTCAGGTTCTACAAAGATAGCTCAATACAACGTGCAGCTATTGAATAAATTATGATATAAATAACAAGGGCTCATTGAGGAGTCACCTTACCTCCACTCGTGACTGTACCATGTGAATTAGTGCGTCTGGTCACCGCGCTTTTCCGAGCGCGATTGTCAAAACGCTCACGTTTCCCGCGCTCCGTCCGGCGGCCATTTTGACGTGCGGGCGCTTCCGTCGCATCCGCTCTAATTCGAAATGGCGGCATGAGCCCTTCCGGTGCAGGACGTACGCGAATTAAAGATTCCATCCCGTCGGATGTGCGTCCGCGTCCACCGGATTGTCGAACGTTTAATGTTGTACGAGCAGCCGAGAGGCTGTTTACATATCTAACTACAAGCTATTTTGTTTGTTTTTTAGGGGGTGCTTTGAATTGTTTTCCTTAAACAAGAGTACTTTGTTTTTAACTTGTTTCATGAAACAATGCTCACAAAATATGTCTTTAGGTATGTAACTAAATTGAAGATTGTACCTACCCGTTATTAATATCATCGATAAAATTAGGAATGATTTCAAATATCCTACTTCATTACTTCGTATCATCTCCAAAACGAATGCAAATACTGGAAAAACTAGTAACGGTTTTGATTCAAACCTCGCATGATTTTACGCTTGAAAAAGATCGCGCTATCAAAAACACATTAAAAGTAATGAAGTAATCAAGTGTAATAGCACCCGAAAGACCTAAGCGAATCAATGAGCCCGTGAAGTGTGGAACACAACAGTGGTATCTAATACCCACTCTCTAATTGAGTTCTCATTCGAATTTCAAATAAGCAAGCGGAACGGCAGTCATCCCTGGCGGTGAGCGCTGGCAAATTATGCGGCGAAAAAAACTAAAGCTGATTTTATCGCGGAAATCCAATTTTCTCCCTTGCACGCTAAAGACGCTGGAAAAAAGCGGCAAGCCGAATGACTCCACCATTTCGAGCCGTTACCCGCCATGTTTAAACCCAGAACACGAATAAGGAGGCGCCGGATTGGTTTAATTTAAATTTCGAACGGCGCCGGGCGTGTTGGCAGCACTGCGTCGGATCCCGCTCCGCGCCCCAATTAATTTGGAGAGATTCACAGATAGGACGCTAATTTGGTTAGCTTTTAACTTAAGTTAAACAGTCGGCAGTTTTTACAGTCGTTAATCTTGCGCTCGCCTTATGACCGCGGCCACCTACGGCGCCTTTGTTTAATGCTCGCCTTATTAATAATTAACATAGTTGTGACACTTTAATGTTCGTTACGAGTTTTTTCTTTTTTAACAAGCCAGGCATTTATAATGACGGTGTCAATGCGAGTTTTTTCACTTGCGCCACGCTCGTTGGCTCCGTCACCTTTAGTGATGATTCTACAAAAATGATGTTTGTCGAGTTTTTTGTTGTCCTCGTGCGGTTGAATATAGGTTCTAACGTCACAATTTAGAGTCATTATTACTTGCATTTTTATTTTAGTTAAAACAGGAATATCAAGTCATTTTTTTCCGTATGCTAATTTTAGGGGACACGCCATCTGCCAATGTAGTCAGTGAATGCAATTGTTTGTTTCATCATTGCTAAAATTTTAATTATGAACCAAAGATAGCATTTTGTGACAGATTTTAGGGATACTTATCTAAATTTTACCTATATAAAGTTTTCTTAGCTTTATTATGAGCTAGAAAGATAATTGGTGACCACAAAATAACTAAGACAGTTCATAGAAAATAGTTTGTCAAAGGTTAGGTACTTACTTCTTCTCCCGTTTTCCCGCTCCGGTGTCCCGGAACCCTTTCGCGAAGGGATTGTTGTCAATCTTCAACTGCGTGATCTAAAGGACAAATTACTATATTAGTTAAGATTGTTCTAATTATCATATTATTTCTTTAGCCCTAAAGCAGAGTACAAAATACATAAGTAATGAACCGGACTCGGGTCTATCAGATCTATTCCATAGCAGGATTCGAACCCGCAAACACAAAATAGAATGATTTTATTTCTATTTTGTGCTGCAACCTTAGCTGGTGCTTTGACACGCAACCAAAAGCAGATTGATTTAAAAAATCTTCGCTTCAGGGTCGCGGTGGCCTAACGAAGAAAATGAAAACTTTTCGTTTTAAACAATAATAAAATACTGGTAATCATCATCATCATTTCAATCACAGTGCGTCCTCCGCTGTACATAGACTTCCCCCAATGATTTTCAGTTTGGCTCGTCAGTAGCGGCTTGCATCCAGCGCCAGACTCGTCCAGAAAGTGAAGTTGGCCAGCTTGAGGTGGAACGCAGCTGGTACTTGCATCGAATTTATCTAGATTTGTCTTCGTGTACCTACTAACCTTCTCATTCTGGTAGGCGGTGACCGCGATGAACTCCGTCTCCTTGAACACGTAGGTCCGGAAGGTGGAGTAGGGCAGCTTGAGGATGTCGTTGGCCCGCACCAGGTGGAACCGCGGCTGGTACTTGTGCATCGAGTTCAGGATCGTCTGCGTGACACACTTTAGACAGCTTAGGAACTCGACCGATTTCCACACAATAAAATAGGTACATTTTAAAGTTATTTGAAGGGGTTATTGTCAATTTGCCATAAAGTCGATTGATTTATGTTTCATACTTGAAAAGTGAATTAGCATGATATAAAAAGCCAACCAATTTCATCATAAACGTGTAACTTCGCGTCAATTTATCACAAGATATTATTATAATATGAAGTGCGACGTATTTACCTACAAACATACTTTTTTCCTATGACAAATAGACTCTGTGGCAAATTAACATCAATACTTCTTGGTAAGTACTGTAATCTACGGCTTATACTATCTATATCTAAGTGAACTTCAACATATTAAAAAGTGGCACAAGTGAAGATTTTGCTAAAATTAATTATGCAGAAGAACAGATGAGCGTACTTAAAAATAACTGCTTTGGAATCGTGAAGTTTCTTAACAATCTATTGCAAAGTTATTATACCATCAGGATTTCTTACAATGATTATTTCCAATTCTACGTAGTAGCCCTCAGATCATAGAAAGAGAATAGATATGAAGTCGCGCGTAACTACAACGAGAACCAGTGTCCCCACATTTCCCCCACCACAGCTCCCACACACACATTCAACTGTGTAAAAACAAAGCGACTGTGAGTCTACGACAACATGTGCAACCGGCTTAAAAGTGCTGTGATTGGCCAGAAGGCGTGCCTTATGGCCAATCAATGGCCGCGTTACGTGACGCACACTAAGAAAATGCTAGTGAGAGAACAAAGATAAAATGGAGTCGACAAGATATCGATACTTTAAATCGCTAGGGGCAAGGCTCGAAACTGGTTTCACAAAATGCTTATGTATGAAAACCTTTTTATTATTATACGTTATTATTAACTACTATCATGCATTTACTTTTTAATTATGGCGATCTGCGTACCGCATATGTTTATCAAAAATAATGCCTATATTAGGCTTTCAACTAGCTCTTATAGTAATTAAATAGCTGACAGTTACTAATTACTTCTACTGTTATTATTTTTTTTGTAAAATCTTATAATCGCAAGTAACACATCATTTTTTTATTTAAAATTACAAAATAGAAAATTATAATTTACTTCTATTTATCGATAATAGGAAACCGCATTAGAACACGAGCACGGCACTATGTTACGACCGGCACATGCGGCCGTACTGTGTATTTTCACACGACAGTGGATATCGGAAGAAATTAAATACATTGCGCAGTAGTTGAGCATGACATAAAGTGGTTGCTAACTAAATCGTCAATGTACAAGTGTGTTAGAATTTTTAACACCACTGATTTCGATATCGCAGTAACTGTTACGGCACTGAATTCGTTCGTAAAAATGTTTAGTTTTTTTCATTTATAAGCAAAATACCAATGGATTTGCAATACTTACATGTAGTAAATGACTCCATTGTTCCTGTAGTTCTTCGTTTCACTTGTTTTATTGCACGTAACGACGCATTATCCAAAATATCGGAGAACATTTCCTTAGTACGACTGAATCGCGACTAACCTAGCTACGCGGCCGATGTTCGTTTCTGGGCATATCGCGGAGACACGCGCCACGCCCCCGTTTCACATCTATTCCCTTCTATGATCTGAGTAGTAGCCTAATTAAAGGTAATTGTGAACAAGCCTATGCGATTTGCATGTGGTCTGGCAAATTGCTACAATTCGCCGAGAATCCGTATACTGGTTATTACTCGTACTTGATCGCTGATCAATTGTGTGTGGGCATTTAGGGCGTACTCAGTTTTTGAATGGGATTTTTCAATCGCATTTTTTTCGGTTTTTGAGATGCACCATTATTTTTAGCATGTTCCGGAATTAAACTAGTTTTGGAAATGTAGTAAAATGATAAAGGTTTTTCTTCATATTTACGTGTTCAATTTACAAGGGGGCACTTTATTATTGTAGCCGAAGTTATCAAAAGCGAAGTTACGTCCTATAGCATATCATTAAGGCGTGGCAAATGAAACGCAAATGAAACTCAAGACATTTGAACCTCATCAATAATGAAAAAGATTCCGTAAAAATACTCAACACTCACGGGGTGAGCACCCTTAGTGCGGTCCTTGTTGTCATTAAAACTCATTTTCCCTTACACTCCTGAATCTTAAATGAGGCGACCGCGATCTTTTTCCAAGGCGGTGGTTAAAGGAAATCAATCCTCAATTGTAGATATAATTGTATGAGTGACGTTACAATGTAGTCTCCGTCTTCAATAAGCTGATTTGCGAGTATTGTTTTTATTAATAATAACTACTTATTAACTATTGTCTTATTCTCGATGTCTGAATAATTTAATAACAACTTAATAAGGTTTTCTTTTATTCAGTTCCAAGGCATTAGTATAGATTTTTAGGTTGACTTATAGAAATGGGGGCTTAATATGAACATTATAATCTTCAGCTTTTGTCGTAGACGATACTTGTGTTTTTGGCTTTTAATTAACGCAGAATAAACACGATTTTAAATGTTTTTTTACAATAATCCGTTTTATCTAAAAATAAATTCGTCAACACATTCGACCCCTCAAATGTTAGCATTGCATCGAGGCGTCCTCACGTAATGACAAGGCTCGCCACCAAATTACCCACATTATCCGGAAAATTCGGGTTTTCTCCCCCAGTTTCTCGGTCAATGCTAATTTAACACACGCTTACCGTTCTAGTGTAATTTCCGTAAGTTGGGTTGTATTGTTATAATTTTTATGGACAGATTACTACTTACAGTTTAAAGAGAGCGCTAAACTAAGTTTAACTGTGGTTTAATTATCCTACTTATCGTTGAATCTCAATAAATAATCATCTTTTCGCGAAAGACAGCTCTCCATAGCAGGATGCGATTTGGATTAGTGACTAGATACTTCATGGGAAAACATTAAAAATAAGCAAACAAGAATAAGTTTTTCTGACGTTAACTTTTACAAAATATTTACAAGAGATGCTATGAGTTACCGTTCGTAATACTTCGTTACAATATAAATATCAACCAGCCGACGCGAATACTTGCAACTGTTCAAGCTAATTCTTGTTCATGGTTATTTACTAGGCTATGTGCTTCCAAGTCACAGTCCTATTTCCATCACAATCGGGCCATCCATCTAGCCATTGTTGCATAGAGCTGCAAAAATATGTGTTTGTATGCAAAGCGAACATTATCATGCAGCGGTTGCGCGGACCGTGGAATGTGCGAATCAACCTAGAGTTTGCTAAATGAGTGCACGTCCTTTAGAAAATCAGTTTTATTTGTTTATTATTTGCGTGTCTTAGATCTGTATTATGGATTGATATTTGTTTGTGATTGGTTGGAATCATCATCATCATTTCAGTTTCAGCCACAGGCCGTCCAACTGAACATAGGCTTTGCCTGGAATTTCTTCTGTGTAGAATGTCTTCATATTTGGGTATTTAATTTATTAACTAAATAAAGTAGTAGTTAACTAATCATTGTAGTTATCGGCATAACTTTCTGCCCTTTCCCCAGCAGGTTATCCAGCAAGTTGCATGTTTGTAAACATAGCAATTTTTAATCACGTTCGCATTATTTTCATAAATTTTGAATATTCATAAAATGAACTAATGTCAAATTGTGGAATGTGAAAATAGTGATGCACACATACTTTTACGAGTATTGACCTTATCGATAAGCCTAACATTCGTCGGCCATGGCGAGCGCAATAAAACAAATTATTTTTATTGACTAATTGGCGTCCGTCGCTTTGATTGCGTATAATTCGATCGCAGCAGTTAGTCGCGGCTTCCTGTCCTGGGGGTCTACTATGAAGGATTATTCTTTATACTATAGCGTTTTACTATCTTTCACTAATACAAAGACATACAGTAAGATAGAGCAAAACTTGAAAATCTTAATCATCAAGTGAAGTAGGTAGGTATTTTGATTTCAAATTTGATTTGATTTTTAATTGAAATAGATTGTAATGTATTTTTGTAACTTGTTCAACGCAATATGTATTTTGCTATGAATAAATATTTTGAATTTGAATTTGAAAAATTCTGTTTCTGCTTAGTTCTGTTTTTAAGATTAAGTCGCATTTGGAAGTCGGAAGTCGCAAAATGTCAAAATTTTCAACAAAGATTTCAATTTCAATTTATCAAGTTTTTGAAAATGAGTTCTAAGAAATAATAAACTTAAAGAGGATTACGGTTCAGGTAGTTAATTAGGTTGAAATTGAGAGCAAAATTACTGAACGTTATTGATGCTGAATAGAAAGGAAGGGCACTTTTGTAGAAAGATTAAATTTATAAGATAGACACATCTGCTACTACAATATTAAATAGAAATAGGTAGCCAGTCTATTAAAACTCAAGTGCTTGATATCTAAAGACCCCATGCGTTTAGACAGTTAACATTGATTGCGTTCAATTTGAACCAGTCTCGACTTCCTCCAATGATTTAATATGCCAAGTCTCGGTTTGGTTTTAAACTGTCATATTGACGTGTGACAGGCTTGATTGGCGCTTTCCTTGTTGAAGGAGACTCAACATCGCTGTAAAAAGCGAAGACGTTTGTCAAGTTTAAAACGTCAGGCAATGTTTGCAAAAACTTATTAGGTACCTAATGTGCGTTTTTATTGGTTAACAGATTCAGTGAAAAGTTAAACTGTCATTAAATTCGCAACAAAATTAATTAGAAGAAAATAGGAGGAATTCGAAGTCGAGAATTGGATTCCCTACTTCGTCGAACTATTAACAACTTTTGATAGTAGGTATTCCATATTCGTTTCTAGCGATTAAAAGGATACGCGATGCATACATACTTAAGTACCTACAAGTAAATTTTATTTTTAAAGACTTGAAATATTAGGACGTTTCGAAAATCAAAGGTCTAAGCGCCACTTTCCTATAAGATCACATAAAAGGTCCCATCCTAACGAAGCGGTCTAAAACAAGGCCATTTTCGAAACGATAACATTAAAATAAAATTATAGTTGTATCGTGAGCGTCGGGCTTAATTACGAA